TGGAAACCAACTTTACAATAAACTATTTAAGAAAAAATAATTTAGATTAAAGGCCTGAAAAAAAATACAAACCCAATATTTTGAGGATTATATTCAACAGACATAGAATTACTTTGTCATATTGTTAGGGTTTTGCAACATTACTCTCAATTTCTTGTCACGGACCAGTAATTATCAGTTTGTTGACCGGCACTGAGTCATGGAACCACACTTTGAGTAGTATTACCTTATAGCACTACCACAGTGCTCAGCTCATTGTAGGCTTTCGATAAATGCCAGGTTCCGTACATCATTCTTACGGTGTTTCCTATTTTGCAGAATGTTTTCACAATCCTTTCCCTTTCTACCCTCATACCACCTTCAGAATTCAGTGGAGCAAAATACTCCCTTTTGGCAGAAGAGGAAGTTGAGACATGCAGATTAAGTGATTTGCCTGGTGTGAAACAGCTTCTTAGTGTCAGAGCCCAAATTTAATCTGTTACTCCTACTGCATTTTGAGGCAGCATCACTAAGAAAGCCCTCTAGTCAGGGTGCCTGGGTGGATCAGTTGGTTAGTGTCTGACTTCAACTCGGGTCATGATCTTGTGCCTAGTGCGTTCAGGCCCTGCATCAGGTTCTGTGCTAACTGCTTGGAACCTGGAGCCTGCTTCACATTCTCTATCTACCTCTTTCTCTGCCCCTCCCCTGCTGGTGCTCTGTCTCTTAAAAATGAATAAACGTTAAAAAACAACAACAAATGGGGGCGCCTGGGTGGCTCAGTCGGTTAAGCATCCAACTTCGGCTCAGGTCATGATCTCACAGTTAGTGGGTTCAAGCCCCGCATCGAGCTCTGTGCTGACAGCTCAGAGCCTGGAGCCTGTTTTGGATTCTGTGTCTCCCTCTCTCTCTGCCCCTCCCCCACTGCTGCTCTGTCTCTCTCTGTCTCAAAAATAAATAAAACAAACAAAAAATTAAAACAACAACAACAACAACAAATGATCCTTGATCACTCTATTTTCAGAATTTCCTAACCTATTGTTTCAATAGGGATCCTAAGCTAGAGAACTTTGTCCATTTCCTTTGATTCTGCTCCCATTTTTTCTAGAACGATCCCAGGCATTTCTTGGGCACCCCAGATATTTTATTTTAAAACCAGTATTCCTATGCGCTAACATTGTGCCTGGCACAATAGGAAGGGTTCAAACAAAATGTGGGACAAATAAATAAGAACAATACCAGAAACATCCACCCACTACTTCATATGGCTATGCACTCATGTAATTATTTGTATTTGCAATGACAATTTCAAAATTATGGATAAAGCTGTTTTAGACAGACATTCTAGGTGCCACAGTGAGCTATTGCTCTGGGGCCTTTGCTTTTGCAAAATTGACTCTCAAGTGCTACCTTTTATTATGTAGAGAAGTTTATGGTTTTATTCTTTCTTTATAGTTAACTTTACAGATCACATTCTGTTTACTCTTTGCTTTATAAGACCTGAAATGGCTTTCGGCCAAATGTCTGTTGACCTTGTGGGAGGTAGAGTGGGCACATTTTTTTCAATTTCTTCCATGCAAGGGGGAGGAAAGCAGAGGACACACTTATGTTGATTTATCTACACTTTCGACCAGATTCACTTGTGACGATGAACACACATTTGTAGGATGCCTGGCTAAGGATATCAGGGGGAAGAGAACACAGAGTTAACAGAAGCTATAACTCTTTTTTTTTTTTTAAGTGTTTAGTGTTTTATTTTGAGAGTGGGAGGAGAGGGGGAGAGAGAGATGGACAGAGAGAATCCCAAACAGCACAGTGTCAGGGCAGAGCCTGACGCAGGGCCTGATTGCACAACCGGGAGATCATGACCTGAGCCGAAATCAAGAGTCAGATGCTCAACTGACTGAGCTATCAGGGCACCCCGGAATCTAAAACTCTTGATTAAATTATGAATTTTGCTTTATTAGCACCACATTCTAAAGACTTCACTTGGCAAGGTATTATATAGGCATTTATTACTCACTATGTGAATAGCTTCTGCAAAACTTGGGGCTCCAAAGGCTGAAAGAGAATTCATCATTATCATCATCAATAGTAATACTAGCTGACATTTACTGAGTGTTAATCTTTTCTATTTTACATCTATTAGTACAATTTATCCTATTATCCCATTTTACAAATAAGAAACCCACAGTGGAGTGAAATTGGGTAATTTGAACGAGATGACACAGCTATTAAGTGTCTGAGTCTGGTTATTTCTGAGCTCAGGAATTCTGGGTTCAGGGCCCACTGTCATTTCTGTTTTGTTTTGCATTTCACAAAAGGTGAAATACTCTTTTTTTGAAATGTCCTCCTAAAGTCCCCAATGGGAGCCCTCCAACCTGTCAGCAGCCAGTGGCGACACCAAGTGGTAATATGCACGTACTGCAGCCCTCTCCAATTCGACGTAATGATCACTCCTGCCCAAGCTCTCCCAAATAAATTTGTATTCTAAGGTAGCTTCGTGACACGTCTGCTTCCAACCAGATTGCTACCCTTTAACCTCTCTTTTTATAGTCTGAGAGTAAAATACATCTTTTCCAGGGTTAGCTCCTCTTTTGCATTTCATTTCTATACCCCATGTATTTTACTCCATTACCTATCCCCTCTTTTTCTTGCCTCTTCAATTTGTTTCACCAGGAGCTCTTCCTGCTAAACCTACAAATAAGCTCTGGTTTCTCCTATACTGCAATGACAAAAACAAACTAATGAACATTTCTCTGAAAAATCACCCCATTAAAGTTTTTTAAATGTTTATTTATTTTTGAGAGAGAGACAGCGAGCGAGCAGGGGAGGGGCAGAAAGGGAGGGAGACAGAATCTGAAGCAGGCTCCAGGCTCTGAGCTGTCAGCACAGAGCCCAACACAGGGCTTGAACACACAAACTGCGAAATCATGTCTTGAAGGACGCTTAACCAACTGAGCCACCCAGGCACCCCACCCCAGATTCACTTTCTTAAAGAGGAGTTCCAATAATGGGATTCCATTGCTCCAAAACCTTAATCTTTTTCAGTCACTTTCTGAATGAAGCACATATCTCAGTATGACATTCAGGATCTTCTAAAATTTGGCCTGAATTTCTGGTTGTATCCTCCCTACACTTCCCTTCCCTAAACTTCAATCACACAGGAGTACTCGCAGGTCCTCATAGGTGATTTCCTTTGCACAAGGTATTATTTCCACTTGGATTTACCTTTATCAGAGTCCATTTAACTTTCCCTGGAATTTTTCTAGTTACTTGTGGCTGTGTCCCACCCTCCCACCCATTACACTGTGAGTGCCTGAAGGCAGGGAGTGACTAAATGTTACCAGATAAAGTAAAAATAAGCTTGGACTCTGAAAGCAAAAATCTGGCCATTCATTAGGCTGGAGTAACAGACACAGATAAAGCCAGCTGCAGATATAACAGGGAACAATATTTCTCTCAAAGACTCGCTGCAGCTATAAAATGATAACAACTCCCTTTGAGTGACCACCACTTTTTTTTCTCCTGAGAAACTTTGTTCTCTACAAACACAGACTATCAGAGACTTTGCTGCTTGAAAACAGGCCAGTGAGAATAAAACATCCCGCATTTGTTTGGAGGACATAAGGTTCTTGGACACAAAGAAGCAGCCTTGAATTCCTATCCAGGTGGAGAACTTTGGATAAGGGGTATCTGGACACAACATTCCACATCTATTTTTTACTTTGGGTTCCCAAGGAAACCGGTCTCTGGGTTCATTTCAAAGCCTAGATGGGATGTTGTTGACCCCTTCACACAGTCCTGCTTTGAGCTTACCGAAAACAGTCCTTGGTTTAAAATTTATCTAAATTCCACCCTTCCCTCAAATTCTGTAATGATAGTTTTTCTTAGGTGAGATGCCCCATGGTTTCTCTTGTGTGTGGTCTTCTTCATTGAGTGGACTAAAAGCCTGACTTTTAGATTACCTGGATTGACTATATGGATTCTGGTCTCAGTTCTGCCAATAACTAATTAGCAGGATCATCTTAGTCAATGCACTCCACTGGCCTTTTTTCTCTTCTGTAAAATGAGAGGGATGTTCCTTTCAATTCTACCGTAAGAGCTTTGGTGTCAGGTAAACCTAGTTTGGATTCTCGGTTCTACCACTTACTAAGACCTATGATTTTTACTTTTCTGAGCCTCCCTTTAGTAATTATTGAAATGGTGAGAGAATACTGGGGCGCCTGGGTGGCTCAGTTGGTTAAATGTCGGATTCCTGATTTAGGCTCAGTTCATTATTTCAGTGTTGTGAGATCAAGCCCTGTGCTGGCCACAGGGAGACTGGTTGGGATTCTCTCCTCCCTCCCTGTCTCTCCCCTGCTCACACTTTCTCTCTCTCAAAATAAATAAATAAACTTAAAAAAAAAAAAAACACCCGGTGGTAATAGGGAAAACTGCGGTGTAGATTACCCAGTGCTGCAACAAGGCTCAAGTTGGCTGTTACAAGCATCAATTTGATCACTATTCCTATTCCTGTTCTGTGAGTTCAAATTACCTAATCTGTGCCTCTGTTTTCTCATGTATAAAAGCGGAGAATGATAGTACGCACTCCAGTACGGTTATTGTGGGCATTAAATGAAATGAAAATGAGTTAAGGGCTTAGCACAGTGCCTGGCACGTAATTAGAGGCTCAAAATATGTCAGCTAATGTAATTAGCATTAGATTACTATTAGCTATTCTGTGGGCCATAAGCTCGGGATAAACAGTTTCATTCTAAGGACAAAAACCTCAAAGAATCATACTCCAGGCTGTTAACAGTGAAACATAAAGGAGCATTTCTTTTTCAAAAGGAATCGGCACGCCCAGCACGGGGTTAGGACCCGCCCACTCATTAAATATGGCAGCGAGCAGGGCCGACCTACTGCGGTTGCGCACGCGGAAACTCCTCCCACGCCGCTTTCTCCGCCCGGCCGCCTTCCCAGCTCGCCTCACCCCCGCCGCGGCTGGGCTGAGGTGCTAGGAGAAGGCAGGCCAGGGCGCGCACGCGCAGACATTGGCTGTGTTTGGCCGATACTTGCGAGGCGCCTGTCACATGAGCCGCGCGCCAGCTCCGCTCCCCCTCCTCCTGGCTGGGCTGTGAATGAAGCTCTGCCGGCTACGTGGGGCGCTAGCTCGGCTTGGTGTCCTGGACGCCAGAGTTGACTGAGTGCTCGGCCCGCCTGCGGCCGACACGGGCTCCTCCGCCCCTGACCTCAGCGACAGGTAAAGACAGATGGGCTGTCCCTTCCCCAACAGGTCCTTGGCTGGCCTCCGGCCCCCGGCCCACCCGCGGAGCACCCCCTGGGCGCAGCGACACAGGGGAAGCGCTCCCCCGGTGGCTCGGCCCCTTGGAGATGGGGGTTCCCCTTGCCCGGCCGCTGCTGCCTGCCACCCGGAGGAGTTAGACCGGCTAGTTCCAGTCAGTGCAAGGCGGCATCTTCCCGGGAGCCCTGCCCTTTTCGAGCCAGGGTCCCTGCGCTGTCCCAGCGAAGTTTTCTCGCGGAGCCGCGCCAAGCCCGTCCCGCTTTTGAATGGGGGGGCGGGGGGCTGGCTGCAGGCGTCCCCTTTTCAGGACTGGGGCAGAGTGGTTTTGGCTGGTGAAGCTCTTTCGAGGCCTGTTCTTCTTCCCTCTCTGGACTCGCAGGTTGGTGTGGGTCGTAGCGAAGTGGACTCCAGACTCTCAAGTAGTTGAGGCGAGTTTTCCTTTTTTCCACTTAACGCGGGGTGGCTGGTTCTCTCCAGACTTTCCAGGCTTGCGCTTGAGCGCCTTCACCCCAAGGGAAAAGCTTTACCTTCACAGTTGATTCACTTTTACCTTTCTTTAACATTTCAGAGCAAATCAGTTTCCTGGAGTGCCAAGTGAAGTTGTACGTGTGCCCGTGTGATAACGTCAGTGTAAGCGACCCCGAATAAGTGAGGGAAATCCAGAAGTGTGGAACATAAAAAGCCAGTAAGAATCTGCTTAACATAGACTTCAAACCTTTATTAGCAACTACCCGGGTTTGACTTCAGAGATGTTAAATTTCTCCTGGTCCCACGAGGCGCGGACCACTACTTAACTCTGTGTGTGTGTGTGTGTGTGTGTGTGTGTGAGAGAGAGAGAGAGAGAGAGAGAGAGAGAGAGAAAGAGAAAGAGAGAGAAAGAGAGAGAGAGAAAGATAAACAGAGAGAGAAAATGGGGGCAAACCAAAACAAACTGTCCGGGGTTCTAGAGAAGTCATCGGAGCGCTTTTTCCTGGTGAATTTATCCTTGGACTTGTGAGTTCCTAAGTTTTCTTGAACTTCGCCAACCTTTCCCTATCCAAACCATTTTTTTAAACCATCTGTTGGTGCTGTTGGGGGCTAGTGTCCATATTTACACTCTTGTCCTTAAACAAAAGTCATCAAGGAAGACCAAAATCATGACTCTCAAGTTTGTATTAGTTAGCGCTTTCACTTCCCGGGTGGACGTACTGGCTTGTATAAAAGCTATGGAAATAGCAACCTACTTTCATGTTGACCAAGTCAAAAACCTGAGGACTTTTGCTTAGAAAAAGCTGATGGCTTGGGTGCTAAATAAGGAAGATCAATTTATTAATTAAGAACTTGTTTAAGTGGGCAGCACAGCATTTAATATATTAAGCCTCTGAATTGAAGTAGCCAGAAATTACATTAAAATTTTTTTAAATGTTTTATTTATTTCTGAGAGAGAGACAGTACGAGCAGGGGAGGGTCAGAGAGAGAGGGAGACATAGAATCTGAAGCAGGCTCCAGGCTCTGAGCTAACTGTCAGCACTGAGCCCGACACGGGGCTCGAACCCACAAACCGTGAGATCATGACCTGAGCTGAACTCAGACGCTTAACCGGACTGAGCCACCCAGGTGCCCCCAGACATTACATTTTTGTCCCTAGCTCCTTTCATATCCTTGCAAATAGTGTTGTCCAAGACCGAATTTGGCATTTTAAATTTAGGAATTAGCTGAATTAATTGGTAGTACTTAAGGGAGTATTCTAGTTTTACATTTTTTTCCTTTTTCTTTGGTTCTTCTTACCCCTAATTATAAAAGCAATAATATACTCCTTTTAGGACATTAGCAAAGTGTGGGAAGGTATAGTGAAGCGGAGAGAAAGAACCATGACCCAAAGGACATTGCTCTTAACTTTTTAATATGCTTCCTCACTTCTCCATTCCTATACAGACTTTCATTTTAAAACCTTAAATATTGCAAAAGTCGCTCTCCTTTCTACTAATTTTTAATGGCAAGTTGGGTGTTGGGGCAGGCAGTAGGAGAGGGCAATGGATATTATGCTGTTATTAATTTCCCAAACTGTGGAACATCAAGATAGGGAAGACATTTAATTGTTATCTCATCCACAACCACTATGCATCCTTTGAGATTCTGAAACCCATTTACTGAAGATCCAGTGATTCATGCAGAATTGGATAGCACTCAGCAGCAATAGTAACGGACTCTGGATCTTTCCATTCTGTCTTTCTAAAGCAGTACTTCGCTAGGAAAAACTCGGCACTAACATGTCTGCATGTCTTTGAAGGAGAGGTTCAAAGAGGGACAGGAGGTAATTCTTAAGGATTTGAAATGTTTTTTTTTTTTTCATTTAGGTATTCATTTTGCTGTTCACATTTTCAGGTTCAGGGCTTGAACTTCTTGCAGAAAGTAAGGCCACACAGCGGCTGGTCCATCTACATCCCATTCGAGCCTCCTTACAAAACTGGAGGGCTTTGGGAAACTGAGTGTGTGACCTCAGCGTGGGAGAAGAAAGGATCAAGATGGCTATGTGGCAGGGTAAGAAGTCAGAACTTATTTCTTTAACTGGTTTTTCCTCCTCTTTTATCCTCTATCCCAACCCAACCCCCCAAGCCAGTGGCAGGCAGCCAGCCCTTTCATTAATTTAACCCTTTGTCTCCACAAGGACAAAAGTATATTAATTTAAAAGAAGTTGCTGCTAGCTAGAAGTTTCACCTATTTTAAAGTAAGGGTGCAGGGGTAGGGGGACGGTTGTAGCAAGAAAATGTAATGCCAGAAGCCTTTTCAAAGAACTCCCTTCATTTGAACATGTGCTTGTGGGGGTTATGTGTGAGGAAACAGGATTTTTTTTTTTCATATTTGTGTTTTTCATTTGTTTCCGGCAAATGCCTATCATAAGGTTCTCAATGGTGGGGGAGACAGATGTCAGTGCTGACCTGGCTTCCTTTTCCTAGTAAAGACTTTAAAGCATATTTAATGTTATAATGTTTATATTTGATGATGGAAGGAAAGTACCCATTTTAATACCATGAACTACCCAAGAGCAAAACTCAATGGTGGTGTCTTACCTGATGGATTTACATCTCTTATGAATCTAGGAATTCCTACCGCCTACAAAGTTATTTTTCATTTTTGGTGAGGTTGAGGGTCGCGCCCTTGGGGGAGCATCAGAATTACTAGGGATGTGTGGGGTTTTTATGTTTCTCAAAAGGGAGTGTGGGTTTAAGAAATGATAGACAGACACTACCCAGACTGGTCTGTGACCACTTGGAGTTGAATGCAAGAAGTTGTGTAGCTATAAGTATTCATCAGGTAGGTTTGTTTGTTGTCTAGTGTATCTGTTAAAATGGTCTCCTATTGGTTATGGCTTCAAATATGAAGGTACACAAATGCAACATGTATTTTTGATGTATGAGAATTTTTACTTTGAAGATGTTTGTTGAAATGGGAATTTGCCTGTATCACTCGCTTTGGAGGTTTATCAGGAGCAGTTTGGAAATTCTTGTTTAAATCCTGAGACATTCTTTCTTTTTTTTTTTTTTTTTTTTTTCAAATAGTTTATTGTCAAATTAGTTTCTACATAACACTCAGTGCTCATCCCCAAAGTGCCCTCCTCCATGCCCATCCCCCCCTCCCCCCCACATCCATCAGTCCTCAGTTTTTGTCAGCATTCAAGAGTCTCTCATGGTTTGCCTCTCTCCCTTTCCCCCACCATTTCCGCCCTTCTTCTCCCCCTTGTTCCTCCGTCAAGTTCCTCCTAATCCTCCTATACGTGCAAACATATGATATTTGTCCTTCTCTGCCTGACTTATTTCGCTCAGCATAACACCCTCAAGGTCCATCCATGTTGCTACACATGGCCAGATTTCATTGTTTCTCATTGCCATGTAGTATTCCATGGTATAGATAAACCACATCTTCTTGATCCATTCATCTGTTGATGGACACTTAGGCTCTTTCCATGTTTTAGCTATTGTGGAGAGTGCTGCTATGAACATTGGGGTACATGTGCTCCTATGCCTCCTGAGACATTCTTTCATTCAACAAACATAATGCCAGGATGAATAAGACATAGAGCCCTCGAGGGTTCCTTGTCTTATGGGAAAGGCAGACATATAAACAAATGATTGTGTGAGGTTGAATTAAGTGTTAGAATAGGGAGAGGTGCAAAATGTGATGGAAGCCTAGACAAAAGCATGATGAATTTGGAGTTTGGAGCTGGTCTAAAAAACATGAGTGGGAGTTGCCAGATGGGCGAATGAGAGAATTGCATTCTGGGCAGACAGAGAAGCACTGTTTGGGAACTTCCAAGTTGCTCCGTTTGCCTTGTGTAAGATGTATGGGCCATGACCTCGGATGAAGCAGGGAAGGTAGTCGGAGACTGGATAAAAAAGAACTTTGTATGTTCTAGGAAGGATTTTACACTTTATCCGAGAGACAAAGATTCAAACAGGGAAGTAACCTAATCAGATTTTGTTTAAGAAAGATTACTTTGGCCACAGTGTTGAGGTGGAGTTGGAGCTGGAGAGAAAGCAAGCCAAGAGCTGGTTGGGAGGTTTCTGGTAGAGCAGTTGAGGGAGGGAGACGGGAGTCTGAGCAGAAGCCGCGGCAGCAAGGTTAATGAGCACAGGATGAAGTCTAGAAATGTTCTGTGACCAGATGTGGGGGGAACAGGGTCCGGGTTGACACCCAGTTTGGGTGCTTGGAGTGGGTGATGGCAGTCCCTGAGATTAGGGACCTAGCCTTGGGAAGAGGTGAGAAGAGCATATGGGGATAGTGGGGAGTTAGTGTACTGACTTTGGTTTGGCCTCTTTTGCTTGAGACATCTGTGGGCTGTCAGGTTCATGATTAAAAGGTAGTGCTGGAAGTTTGGAAGGGAAGTTTGTGCAGGTAGGGATCTAAAGTTTTGTTCCTAATGATGCATAAAGAGCTTGTGTTTTTTTTTTTTTGTTTTTGTTTTTGTTTGTTTAGTGGAAACACCATTAGTAGTTAATGATTTATTTTCTAATAAAAACATTTTAATGAATACCAGTTCTTAATAAAATGTCATAGTTTCTTCTTTTTAAAGTTTATTAATTTATTTTGAGAGAGAATGAGACAGAGTATATGATCAGAGGAGGGGCAGAGAGAGAGAGGGAGAGAGAATCCCAAGCAGGCTCTGTGCTTTCAGCAAATGGAGCCCGCTGCAGGGCTCGATCCCACGTACTGTGAGATCATAACCTTGGCCCATATCAAGAGTTAGTCACCCCTGTCATACTTTTTTTTTCTTTTTTGCCCCTGTCAAATTTTCTTAATAAATAATGTATTTTGCTGTCTCAGGCCCTGACATCAGATCTGCTTAAAATGATATTGGAATAAAACCAAATTTTCTTAGCATTAGTGAAGAGGGGGCTATTCCATATAAATAATTGCAACTTGTTTTTTGTTTTATGCAACCTCTAAGGTGACAAGCAATGATGACAATTATACTTTGGCTGGCAGTATGGTGGAATAGTTAAAAATACAGATTTCGGTCGACTCTGATGGTTCCATCACTTGGTAGCTGTGAGACCTGGAGCAAGTCCCTTACCCTCTCTGTGTCACAGTTTCCTCCTTTGTAAAATGAGGATAATAATAGAACGCACCTTATAGGGTCATTTTGAAGATTAATATATGCAAAGCACTTAGGACATAGTAAGTGCCATGTAAGTGTGTGCCTTTATTATTAGTAGTAAGACATTTAGAATATTGCCCAGCATATAGTAAGTGCTCATTAAAATTTAGCAATAGCTGCTGCTGTTACTACTATTACTACTGCTACTACTTATACAACTACCACTATTTTTGTCACTATTACTTTGCTATATCCTGGGGGTGGGCCTGTGGCTCTGCTCTGTGGAGGGAATTTCAGGTTGTCCTTGGAAGCCCTGCCCTGTGGTAGTCTGTTTGGGTCTTTAGGTAGAGGTTTAGATCTGAAGAGATCCTTAGAAACCATTTAGCCCAACCCCTAGAGATTAATTGACATGCCCATGCTCAGACAGGTTGATGGTGGTGACAGGACTAAAACTCAGGTGTCCTGGTTCCCTATTCCAGTTTTTCCACAGATTTATGGAGGAGGGAATGGTTGGGTCTATCCGCAGCTCAAGGAAGCTCAGAGTCAGATTTCTGGAGCTGAGGAACTCTAAGAGCTAGAAGAAGCCAAGCCTCCTTAGTCTCTTGGGTCAATGGTATCTAGTTGCTTCACAAAGAGTTTTATTAGAATTCTCATTCCCCTATAGGGCTGGCTTCGTGGTGACAAATTCTTTCAATTTCTGTTTATTTGGAAAGGTTTTTATCTCTCCTTCTATTTTGAATGACAGGCTTGCTGGATAGAGGATTCTTGGCTGCATATTTTTACCGTTCATCACATTGAAGATTTCCTGCCATTCCTTTCTAGCCTGCCAAGTTTCAGTAGATAGGTCTGTCACCACTCTGATAGGTTTCCCTTTGTATGTGAGGGCCCTTTTCTCCCTAGCTGCTTTCAAAATTCTCTCTTTGTCCTTGTATTTGGCCATTTTCACTATGATATGTCGTGCAGAAGATCGATTCAGGTTACGTCTGAGGGGAGTCCTCTGAGCCTCTTGTACTTCCACATTGACTTCCTTCCCCAGGTCAGGGAAGTTCTCTGCTATAATTTGTTCCAGGACTCCTTCAGCACCTTTCCCTCTCTCTTCCTCTTCTGGGATTCCTATGATACGGATATTGTTGCGTTTGACCGTATCGCTGATACAGAAATGCTGAGGCATAGGAGCACATGTACCCCAATGTTCATAGCAGCACTCTCCACAATAGCTAAAACATGGAAAGAGCCTAAGTGTCCATCAACAGACGAATGGATCAAGAAGATGTGGTTTATCTATACCATGGAATACTACATGGCAATGAGAAACAATGAAATCTGGCCATGTGTAGCAACATGGATGGACCTTGAGGGTGTTATGCTGAGCGAAATAAGTCAGGCAGAGAAGGACAAATACCATATGTTTGCACGTATAGGAGGATTAGGAGGAACTTGACGGAGGACCAAGGGGGAGAAGAAGGGTGGAAATGGTGGGGGAAAGGGAGAGAGGCAAACCATGAGAGACTCTTGAATGCTGACAAAAACTGAGGACTGATGGATGTGGGGGGGAGGGGGGGATGGGCATGAAGGAGGGCACTTTGGGGATGAGCACTGAGTGTTATGTAAAAACTAATTTGACAATAAACTATTTGTAAAAAAAAAAAAAAAAAAGTAACTCTTCAAAAAAAAAAAAAAAAAAAAAAAAGAATTCTCATTCCCCTTAAACATGGCCAACATTATTATTTTGACTTCATTTGATGAAGCCCTCTAACACATTTCCTGCCCACTTTAAACAGAGTCTCCTGGGCATAATTAAATATTTTTGATAACTCAGGGTTATAATTAAAACCGTCAGTTTTATTGGTCTAATTGTCAAGAAGTTATTGACAAGAGAACTAGCCAGCTTGGGGTTGGATGAGGTTGGACACGTGTTGTTGGGTATTATTTATTTATTCAATTA